CTGGGTATATATACGGATGCAAACTGTAGATTCTGCGAAGAAAATGACATTCATGTACTGTTAGAATGCCCTACGCTAATGTACATAGGGGAAAGACTACTGGAAATGTATATCCTTTTGTTGGAGGCAATAAAATTCTGTAAAGTAGACTCTACACTACTTTTTATTGACGCAACAGGGCTTAGAGACTTAGACTAAGCCCAGAAGGGTGCACGATAGATTCGATGGTCGCAGTGCCACAACCCCTCTAAATAAGTAATTTGCATAATATCAAAATAACATCAAATATATAAATTAACCAAATAACCTAATATATCATTGGTTTGTACCTCTTTCGATATAGTAAAACCCAAATATACTAATAATATACAAATTTTTTACTTCCTACATTTTAATTAAATAAACTAATATCTTTATATCTCTCTCATTTCTATTTACATCTAAACACGTAAAGAAATATTTTGAACTTTTTCTTTAAAAGTTTATAGTGTTAACTGATGAGTTGGGCTTACTATTAAAGTATCATCAACTTTTTTTTCAATCCTTCCACACTCAACACTTGAACATTTTTACAAGGGAAGGGAATAATTTCCGGATTTAACAATGGCTACCATTTTTTAACACGAATTTCTCTATATCGATATAATAATGTATAATAATTGGCTCTCAAAATATATGAAGTTTTCAAAGTACATCAAACAGTAAATAAATTTGATATTATTATGATTAATATGTACATATAAACATATATAACATAAGTTTCATTATTACTTGTCTTATTCATTTAACAAACAATTTGACACGTTAATAAAAATCATAATTATTCTTAAATTATTTTAGTGCAAATAGAAATTTTTAATTTATACAAGCGGTACATAATACTTAACCCTTTTCAAAAACGTTAATAATATCGAAGAATATTTGCTTGTTTTTCATCTGAGTCATTAACATTTTCGATTTTTTAAAGGACTCTAAATACCTCCGACATAGTACTGCATTCGCAAAGGCAAGCCCAATTTTCTGACAAAATAAATATTCGGTAAAGAAAAATCGTAATTAATTGCTTATCTTCGTGTTGTGATCAGAAACTCGAACAAGAAATGAGTTTTCACATCATTAATCTATATAAGATTTGACTACAATGTTAATACGTTAGAAAGCCGAAATATTAGCATTAGCAATACCCATCGTTATGGGTACACGACTACACGTATCGAGGGTTGAATCATAAGTAGTTTCGGCGACCCGCATTGACATGGAAACGCAAACTTTGTATATGAAACCAATTTTATTTAATTGACCTAAAATCCACTCGAATGACTTTAGCAACCTCTACTTTCTCTAGTCTGCCTTTCTTTATGTCATGATTAAATATCTCTTTTCTGTGGTCAACATGTGTGGGGATGAGTTTCACAAATTTTTTATATGTGCTCTAATAACTTGCAGATTGAAAGGGATATTTTGTCATTAACTAATTCAAGATTGTATGTTTTAAGTAAAATGTATATATGTTGATACGTTGATGTAGATATGTAGTAAATTTTGACATTTAACATAAAAAATCATTAATAAAAATCATAATAAAAGCGTAACGAATGGCGTCACGTTTCATGATTATTTATGTCACTTCGAATTGAAAATTGTTACAATTTAATACGAAAATACAATCATATATATATGAATATTAAAAGGATTAACATCAGAGTATTATGTAGCGGTACATTCCTTTTTTTACTGGTCATGAGTTGGCAAGCATTTAATTAATAACATGCACTCTGCTATGACGAATTTTATTAATTAAATGAAAACTCATGTCAACTTCTTATTATACGCAGCAAAATTAATACCAATACCAAATATAATTTTAAAACAGTTTGAATTTTCAATAAATGGATATTAATTAATACATAGTTTTTAAATCAAATACAGAATTCGATTTTAAATCCACAGTCGCATCTGCTTTTTATTTGCTGAAACTTAAAGCTCAAATGCTACAATCAACAAAAAAATAAAGAGTTGTTATCATCATCATGTCAAATCAAAATTTAGTACTTGAATACAGCGTTAGCATGCAAGTGAACATAACTTAAAATCTAACCAACGCATTCGGTTACATTAGGTTTTCGAAAATAAGTACCGAAATTTAAATTATAACAAAAGTCCGATTTTCTTTTCACAACTGCTCAACACATAATCTTGTAGTGCCTTTTATCTACTAGTAGTGCCCAATGCAACACCAAACTACAGTCTCCCGATACAATAGTTAGCGGCTCTCTCTCTGAAGCCATATTCCTTTATACACAAAAAGAATTGTCATGGAAAAGTTATCCCTACAATGGCTAAGTTTAAACTGAATATATGATTTTCGTTCTTATGCACTCTTATAATCTATCACTAGTAGATAAGCCCCCCAACCATTATAGAGTAAAAGTGCGTAATAGCACCAACTCAAGAAGAAGAATCAAGGATATTCAAGGAGTTAAATAATACTAATATTATTAAGAGTAATAATTTAATTCAATTAAGATTAAAATTTGAATCTGATTAAAATGGATCGCGATATATTAACTGTCACTAATTTAAAATAGAGTGAAAAATAATAATTCGCATACCTTAAATCCTTTATAGTTGTAATAATTAACTTTTAAAATTTCACAGATACAAATGGTGTTTTGAGTACGTAATTTTTAACATTCGATTTGTAAGCAAAATCATATGATATCCTTGATTTGGGGCAGTATGAACACTTTCCAAATTAACTTAATTTCATTTTAACGAAATTAAGGAAATTTGAGTTATTTCTCAGTAACTGTAAACACGTATAAAGTTTTTTTTTTTATTTAACTTAGTTGCTTTTAAATCAGTAATTTTGACATATATCTTTAGTAAAATTTTATATATAAAATCTATATATATTTTATATATAATATAAGCATATTTTTTATAAACGAATATTAACGCGTTTATATTTTGCTATTATTTAAATAGAATAGTGTAGAGATATTGAAAAAAATCTGATACGTGTTATGTTGTCCTCGGCGACGGCACATTTACCAGCGGGTGTCACCGTAACGGAATCTGTGTCTTCTTTCAACTTATTTAATAGACAAGTGAAATATGTATCGAAATGTAAGTTTTTTATGTACCTATACAAAGTACAATATGGAAACTCAAGTCAAAGAAACGAGATAATTTAGATAATAGATAAATGTTGAAAAACATAAACTATAAATTTTTAGTTTCTATTGTCAAGAATTGGGTTTCTAATATTATCAGTATAAACATTTACATTGGTTCTACAATATACTAACTATATACTTTTCAGTTTATAAACTTAATAACCTCGATATAGTTGAAACATTGACTGTGTTTGAATCTGATGCTGATGGTGAATTTCGCGTGGTTTATCATGGAGAAGTGATTTCATTTCCAGATATAGTATGTATGAATATATAGTTGTAAGATTATTTCGTGTTGATAAAATTATTTTTCAAAATTCATAATTATAATATTATGCACTTATTATATATTTCATTATTATGTATTGCTTATTGTTAGATGTTATATATATTACTTTATATATTATATTTTGTGTTATGTTTTATTATAAAAAGAAGTTATCGCTTTATAACCAACTTTGACTTAAGCTTATTGAAGCTTTCGAGACATTTCTTGCATTCATTGGTTAGAATATATTAACGTACAGAACTATTGCAATTATTAAAATAGGAAATGCTTATGTTTCTGTGGCTACTAACTTAAACTCAATATGGTGTGAAGTCTGCAGTCCGTATATATTATTTAAGTTATATAGACTTATAGATTGTCCTATTAAGACAGCTAAGCAAAATCTTGAATTCTTTGGATTAACTTTCAAATATATTTAAATTAGATTAAAACAAAAACATTAATATTAAGTATTGAGATCACAAATATAATGAACACCTCGAATTAATGCATTCAGTCGAAAATCTTGAATAATTCTGATGAGTCTACAAATAGACTAGAATAAAAAGATTATTATTTTTCGAAAATTGGATACCTATATAATCCAAATTGTTTAACCTTTGTATGAGAAATAACATATATTTTTATAATTATGATTAAAGTAAGTTTAGAAGCGGTTCTATACATTAAAATTATTGGAAAATCTTAAAAAAAATAATGGCATAGTAACTAGAACTTACTAAAAACTTACTTAAAATCATATATTTCAAACATACAATTTTTTTTTATATCATAAAGCCTATTTCGGCATCTTAACGTAATATACGCCTTAAAGCAAAGAGCTTTGACAAAATAAGCTATTGGTCATTAAAGGATTAACGTGCGGTTGGCTAGGTTTATTATCTACAACCGTCAATTATATGTTTACAACAAAACTAATACAGTGTAAAAATCCATGAAAACAATGCTTTTTTGACAGGTTAAGTACTAAATTTTGCCTAAAAACTAATTTTTTAAGAAACTTGTATTAATTTATTATAATGTATCTTTTTCTTATACATTATACGTCTCTATCCAACAACCGTAGACCACCTTCCTCACAAAAGTTTAGATTTTTTGATGAAATCTTTAATTTTAGAGTTTAAAGTTAATTTGTATATTATACGTGCATATTGTGTATTGATAATAATCCTTTTGAATAAGCAGACTATTTTTAACGGTATTCATAACAGTCTCTAATTAAAACAAACTCCCTTTTTTTTTGCTTGGCATAGATGATATTCCACTGTGGGCGATATCATCCATGTCAGTTTCTAACAATCTACAAAGCTTTATACATTTTATGGTAAGAAGTTTTAAGTTAAATTTATTTTGTCTAATGGCAATAGTTCTTCTGAAGCACTAATAAGAATATAGCAAAGCAGGTTGGACAAATCGGAGTACAACAGAGTTAGAAAAAAACAAAATTTTTATTTAAAAATTTTACTTTTTTTTATGACAAAACAAATTGAGGTTCATTACCATACTCTGAAAAAAAATATTTTTTAAAATGCATAAATTTGTGAATATTCACACCATTAAACGATTTCGTACATCCCAAATTGGAACCGGTTTTCTTAAAAATTTAACCAAAAAGAAAAATGTAACCATAATAATTGTAATAATTTCCGCACAATATGACCGTTGGTCATAAATATTCAAATTAGAAACTTATTTGAGAGACATTGTCATACACCCGGTCCGAATTGAAACGCAGCATCCACGAATTCTTCAAGCATCAAATGCAATTATTTTTAAAAAATGTAGCATCAATCATCAAACTAACAAAAACGGAGGAAGATGTGTACGATTTTAATGCGACGCTGTTTCAAATTAGTCGAATAAGTTTGAGGAATCACAGGATAAGATATCTACTGTCCCCTCTAAGAAAACTACTACGACATTTTGGTCAAATATAATTTGCATATATTAAGTCACATTTAATTTGCATATAAAAACATTTTGTAGACTAAAACTGTTCTAGTACAATCGGATACTCGTACATCATCCTTTTTGTGCTCCTGTGAACTGTTGCTTTTGTTGCCACTAATTATGCCGCTACAAGTGGCATAAATCTTCAAAATGAGTCCCTTTAGGGTTACTATGCCATACCAAGCGGTTGTGACTGCATCGGACGTTGTTATTGTGCGTTCCGTTGTTACTACTTTTAGTCCTTTTTTTTCTTCTTGATATGTTAATAAATTTGAAATTACATAGTTTGGTCATATGATTCTTTTTGGTTTTCAAAGGATCAGAATATTCAACAAATGTGTTAATGTACTGTTCGAGGTTGACACTAATGGGCCGCATTACAAACTGTTAAACAATTTAATTTTATGCTCATTTACTTTATATATTTTAAGGGTTTAAAAAATGAATCTACATAAGTTATAGAACTGGCATTTAGGGTAAATATATATATATAAAATTATATTGTATTAATAGCATTTTGTAAACAAATTCTTAATTAATACTATTTTATTATAATACTTCTTAATTTTTTAATTTAACCTGTTTTAATTAATATTTCATTTATTTTTTACAGCAATCGGCTGTAAGAGCGGAAAATTTATACCGTTTGCAATGTAATAACAACTATACTTATCAACGCATCTTAAGATATTCAAATGAGCCATCACCTTCACCGCAGTTTGCAGCCCCTTCTCCACATGCACATGCCCTTTTGCAGCCGCAACTAGCATATGCAACACCGCCTCCGGCTATTCGAATACCAGCGCAGACACCAACCATCTTTGTGCCATCATCACCGGCTCTGTATCCACAATCACCGTTTTTATACACATTACCAACACAAACTGCTGTTGCACCGACAATGCTAGCTTCACCATTAACACCAACTACACCGTGTCATATTCAAGGTTCTCGGGGTCCAAGATTAATTTATCCCAACTGCATGGCTCCGTATCAGCACACGTATTCACCTGTTCTAGCGCCATTCATGCCCGCACCAGTGTTTGCAACTACAGCGTATCCGATGCGAAGTTCAAGGCGAAATAATGGGCGCCGTATGGAATCGAATTCCCATGCATATTCCATGATTGTGCCATCGAACATGTATCACATTGACTACCCAGTACCACAGATTCATCCTTCAGTACCGTTACCTTTGCCTTAGGACAACAAATGATTTGCAAGTTTTTTTACAAAACTTTTTGAGTCTTGAAAAATTTTGGTTTGATGAAATTTTTGTAATTTGAATAATGACGAGACAAATTTTTATGTTAAAGTTTTAAAGAATTTCGATACTGATTAAGTCAAGGCATTGAAAATTTAATTCATCGGGACCATCTTTTATATGTGTTTTTTACGGAGGCAACTTAAGGAGGCGAAATTTTAAAATGAGTAAAAGGAAAAATTATTGCGTCAAGAAATTTTGAAAGTCAAATAAACTTTGAAACAAAATTTTTGCAATAAAATTATAAATGAAAAATTATGTGTAAATATTTTTGGCTGTTAATAATTAATAATTATTATTTTTACGTAATAATTATTAATTATGTTAGAAAATATATATAATTTTTATTTTTATAACTATTGTGTTTTTACTTTTATTTTTAAAAGATTCAGAGATAATATTAAATATATTATCTAGTTCCAGTAGAACTGTAATCTGTAGAATTGCAGATATACTTCTTTATATATACTTATTTTGATGATTTTATTGTTTTTTAAAACAACTTCTAGAACGTTAAATTGATCTGCATAAATTTATATTACTATATGAAATCTCAACATCATAGGCTGTAATACACTTACCTATGATCAATATTTTGGGTGGTCATTGTAGAAATGATTATGATTATATGTAGAAAATGATTATAAAATCAAATTTTAACCAAAAAAATGTTTTAGCATGGTATTTATATAACGTTGTTTCTATATAAAGGATCGGAATACATTCTATTGGATTTTTTTATTTAGGATATAAACAAAATGTTAGCTTTGAAATTTTTTGGAAAATTAGTCGATCGAAAACATTCTAAAAAACCATTAAGTGATATATAATTAAAAGTTCTTACTTTGATTGACTTCATATAACGTCACGTCAAATTGATGGCGAATCTTTTCAAATCGATTGTCTGTTCTATGAAAGCTCTGCAAATATAGTTGTGAACTATTAAACCGATTTCTAATTTTTCTTAAATATTTTTGGAGTTTTATAACTAAAATTGTTGGAACGCCCATTATTCTTTTGCTCAACATTAGTACACATAAACTTTACAATGAAACTAGATTAGCTACCAAAAAACTGATGTCAAAGGTTATTAAAGCAAGCATTCTAAATGAAGAATCGTGAGGATATATAGTTCTGATACCAGACATTCCCGTAAATTCCCCAGATCCCAAAAAAATTGATTCAAACAATTTTAGAAAGCATAATCTGATTTTTTAAAACTCAACATTAAGTGGCAAGGTTGTAATAATAATCTATTACAATCATTTCTTTTCTTTAAGGTGTAACAACAGCTAGTTCTCCAATTCAAAACAAGGACACAATTGTGGGCACACATATTTAACAATGAGTTTTAGTAAAGTTGGCTATTCTACATAAACTTTTTCTGAGTAAATAACTGAGTAAAATAATTAAAGTTATTTGTATACCCCATGAAAAATTGGAGATACTAATTTGCAGTAGATGGCATGTGTATTATTTTGTCAATGAAATCAATTTGAATAGTTTGCAATTTTAAAACTTGATATCTCAAGAAGTAACCCAAATCGACATTTATTTCAGTAAAAAAAGCTGCTTACAATAACAGACTCTATTACAAATCTTTGCCAGAAGGACATCTCCGGGCAATCGGAATCATGCTACGATAACTATTTCTTTTGTTCAATTTTTAATTATATCAGCTCTTTTTCTCCTTTCCTTTTTAGACTATTCTTTCATGTGCAAATACATATGAATTCCCTTCAGTGTCCAGTAAGGAAATAGATTGGTTGTGTATAAGTATTTTTCAATTAATCGCTACAGTTCAAAAAGTAGAATAGTTTATTCAAATACCCCGAATAGCCGAGTTATAGACTAATACCGAAAAATCATGTTACTTGTTCTTACTTCTGTCTTTAAATTAGACGCAAAAACGTTAAAGCGCTTCATTTTATTATCAATGCGTCTATGACGTCCTCACTTTTCAAGTTACATACAAAATCATTTCAAATATTTTTATTGGTTAAGTGTAAGCTGAACTTAGTGAATGAATTTATATATTTTAATCATACTCATGTCTTAACATACTATGTATTTATTCAAGTTTAGCCAAATTGGTATTTATAATGCTAATTTAATATACGGTTCTTAAGTTGTGAAGTCTAGTTTTGTTTCAAGAACAGTTCCAAACTTAGGAGCAACTATTGTATAATTAACTGCTATTATATGAGTAATATTTTTTAAAATTTAAGTTCGATACACTTTTAGTTATAGTCTACTAGACTAGAACAGGATTACACTCATTATCTTTCGATGGACTTACTACTTGTTTTAAAATAGTCCTACTCTTTCATTTTATATTCTTTGATATTATTGCTCTATAATATTGTAATGAAATGTTGAGCCTTTTTCGAGTTAGTGCATCTAGGCACTTTTACTCTTTGATAGCTGGGGAGTTTCTGCAGAGTCCCATCCATCTCACTGACTAATTTGAGTATTCCTCATAATCTTCGTGATTATTCACGAATTCAATGATTATTCAATGACTGATCTAAGATTTGTCAGATTGTTTTGCTAAAAGACGATAAATATATTTGAATTTATTTATATAAATATATTGTATAAAAATATCTCATAAGTATCAAATTATTTCATAAATGACATCATGCATTGAAGTCTATTCGTTTAACCTATTCTTCCTATAAACTATATATTGAATTTCATTTTAAGTCAAATGTTGAGTTTAAATTGATTTATAACTTTGACGAGTAGCTCGAAACATTTACTTCGAAGATACTAATGTAGCCAAAAACTACAACACACATAATGAGACATTAAAATAAATATCACTGCAAGCCTTACAGGTAATGCCCTACGCTTAGTTGATATAATTGCAATTGGTATGCGTTCACAATGTGCAGTATATAAAAATATGCAGTCATTTTTGCACAAATATATATCATAGAATACTCGTATATATATACATATATATCTTATACAATTTTTAAATGTCATTAAAAATTTAGGCAGCACTACACAAACTACAATAGCTTTTGTGTATAGTGTAGCTTTGATGATATGTCGACTCTGACCGCGTTTTACCAACATTTTTATTAAACCGTGTTAAGATCATCAACGTCATTGCAGTCTTTGCCAACATAGCAATGTCATTGTATTTGTCGTTAAAGTGGAAAAATGATTGCATCGCAAAATTTACGATTTTCTTTTACACACAACCAATCACACTAAAGTCATCCACCTGTCAGGATTAAATAAAATCTTTTGTTTTCAAAAAACAACAAAAATCATTGATAACTCAATATTACATATACTATAAACTCAAATAATACAATTTTCCTTCATATTAGTAATTTTTCAATTCAATACAGTATATTATTTGATAGTTTTTAATGTATTTAGTGAATTTTTTAATAGTTTTAATGCTTACTTGAGCGAAAAATCTTCCTTGAATATTTATATGAGATCCTTTTTCGAATTAAAATAAATTTTCTGAAGTCTTCTGTATAATAATGCGATTAGCGATAAACGATAAAATTTCTCCGTTACTGTACGTTGATACCTATAAAAATCCTATAAAAATGCATGAGCACCGCATGTGAATATTTTGATATGAAGCCAAAGGATTCAAT